GGTGACTTGTTGGTCAGAGGACATCTGTTCTGTTTCATTGTCAGACATGGTATTATTTTGTTTTTGTGTGTATCAGATATGTCAGAGGTTACCAGTTATAGTGGGTGGTGGGGGGTATCTTAATACAACATCCTTTCCCACCATAGATCTATATATTCTCATGTAGGGTGTGAAAGAAAATGCACAGGGAGTTAATATGCAAAATGATTTTTTATAAAACTATATATACAGAAGGATTGTAAATAATCCATGAAATTTTGTATATAAATTTTGTAATCATCAGATTTGTATGTCATGTAGGTCTCCTGAGAGGATGCAGTATTATGGTGTATGGAGGATTGATTGGTGATAGATGTGTTTTTATGGTGAATGTGCAAATTGTAATGAGTGAATGGGTTGTGAATTGGATTAGTTAGGTATAGGATAGTAAGTAAAGACCAGCCTAAACCCATTCCCCCCTTTTCAGCCTTTGTGCCATAATTGTATTTATATACAATAAATATCCAGAAGGATAGAGTGATAAGTTTAAGATTCAAAATTTCAAATATAAATGTCCTTATACATACAAGAAAACTATGGGAGAATGTGTGTGTGTGTATATATATATATATATATATATATATATATATATATATATTATATATGATATTTGGAGATTTGTGACCCTGGGTTTCACGCTTTAGCAATCGTCAGACAAACTGATTAATGTTTTAAAAAATTTGGGTTTATGTAGATTGCGTGTATTGATGTTATTGTGGAAGTGGTGGGGAAATTTCGTCGTTTTGTCATTCATCGTACTAACGCAAAACATCGATGTATGCAGACACATATACATACTTGGTCGTCCGTCGGGACTCATACATATATAAACATATGGGGGCAGTTTCGGCTATGACACATGTATGTATACGGGTGGTGTTATGTCTATACATACGCATTTGTATGTTGTATATATATATATTTATGTGTGTGTGTAAACATTTAGATATAAATAAAATACGTCTGCAAAAAGACTACATGAATAAAAACAAAAAAAATATTCTTTACAGAGACATTTTACCCTCCTTTTCCAAGTTAACATAAAAATTTTTAAAAATCAAAAGAAATTAAATCAAAACCTATCATTTTAAATAAATAAAAACATAAATAATTTATCAAATTAAAATAAAATAATATATAAAAATTACATTAATAAATAAAAACGTAAATAATATATATATAAACAAATAAGAAAATAAAAAATGCAACAACATTTACTCATTTTCATTTATTAGGCATTAAATTACATCACTTAGCATCTTCCATAGTTTACCTTGACTTTTGCAGTAAGCTTTAAGAATATTTATAAGTATTCTTAAATTTAAATATTTTGAAAACTTAACAATATTTCTACTTCTGTTTATAAATACATGTTGCAAAATAAAATCCTTACATTTGCCTTGATAAAGTACATCAAAGGATAAAATGTGATGTTGTGAAAGAAAAGTTTTCTTTTATCTTTATTCATATATATATATGTATGTATTCAGATGGAGTGGTCACCTGATTAAATGAATGAGAGAATGTGATGAACGTTCTAGACTGTGGATGTTTTAGTTGCCAGTGTAAATGGTAGAAGGTGGTTGGTATACATGTGTGAGTGTAAGTGGGATTGTGTGGGTCGCCCATAAGTAATGCATTTTGGCTCGGAGTATTTTGAATGCAGCATACGAGAATTGATAAAATTAATTAATTGATTCTGGTTTAGTTTAAATGTCCCTTTCAATATATATGTATCTAGTGGGAAAAATAGATCTGTTCCATCGTGAACTCATATTCTGGTTGACTCACTAAACCATGATGTTTGTATCCTGGTTGGGACGGTTTCTGATTGTTTTGTTGAGATATAACTTAATAGATTAGTAATTCTAAATATACATCTATTTTTAGAGATGGGGAAATTTTGGTATCCTTTATTTATCACTTATTTATTTTTCTATCATTACATATGTTAATTCATTCACAAAATAAAAAAAAAAATTGTTCAAATATGCCAATATTATATGAAATAAAATATAAACAATGAAAAAATTAAAACTGGTATTAATAGGTGTGGTTCAGCAGAAGTTCCCCTTTGTAAAATCTTTCAAAACTAGTATACTCCTGCTGTGTTAAAAATGATGGCAATTGTTAGAAAGCTTTAATGCAATGAAACAAAAGTCTTGAAACAATGTACTGAGATACAAAAAATAAAAAAAGAGATAAAGAATTTACAACTAAAATAGAGGCTAATGAACTGCTTAATCCCTCCTTTTATATTTTTTAGGTATTCAATGGTATCTATGATTTATTGATTACTCCTGGTATTATCTAAATATCTCTCAGAAAAAAAGATTAGCAAAAGAATGACAAAGCCTATTTCAAGACCAATTTGAAGCAAGACAATCACTTAATAGACAAAGGTGTCTGAATACCTCACATAAAAGACTTGAACAAATAAGACTGCAATCTCATCATCATCATCCTTCAACATCACTGTGATTGGTTGGAACTTCATTAACAATCCCTTTCCACACTGCTCAGTCCTGCATTGCCATCTCCAGATCTCCAATGTCCAACCCTGAGTCCTGAGCCATGGTGTCTGGGAAAGTCAACTTTTGCAAGAAGACACCTCCAGAAGGATGCCATAGAAGTAAAGATGAGACAACCTCCCCATTCGCTCAGTGGCAGTGGCTGGCAAATTGCAGTCGCTTTTGAGCTTAAGAGAGATTGGTCTCAGTTCTCCATAAATTGTGTTAAATGTTGCAATTTAAGAAATGTAGTAGTAAAGGAACTGATTAAGTAAAATGTTCATTTTGCTCAGGAAATAATTTTGTCTAAATGCAGATAAATATTTTATTTGTATATATTATTAAAACAACTGAGGGAAGTAATTACTCATAAATTTACTAACTCAAGCTGATTTACCTCCCTTCCCACTACAAATGGGACAGGAAATATATAGATAAATATACATTGATAATTATTATATGGTTTGATTGATAATAACTGCAAGCAAATAATCTAACATTGTCATCCTAAAAGTGACACTTTTTCCATTCAAAATAACATATACAAAAAGTTTGGTATCTCTAAGCACTGGTAATATGTGGAGGATCAAAGTGTGGTACATGTTCCTCTCTTTGGCTATGTTCTTGTTTTTACTAATTTTTGGATATGGACATGGCAAGAAACAAAGTAGTCTGAGCCAGGTAATTCTAGACAACCCAAAAGAGCAATATCAGGATGTTCTGATGTCTTTGTGATACTGGTTGCACAACTGGCAAATTTTTGTCTTTGATTACAAAACTAATCATGCATCAAAATGGTGACTGGAAAAAAATGTAGTTTTGGAAGTTAATTTAATTTTTCCTTTGATAAAATAATATTTTAATATATCTTAATAAAATTTTGATTGAGAAAAATTTAAATGCAATATCAATTGTTATTTTCTCTCTTCTTAATTCCTTTTTCTTAGTTTTCTCTCTCCTTAATATTTTCGTTTTTCTCATATTCTTTCATCCCCCCCAGTAACACTTTGCATCTTAGTGGCTATATTGCCTTGCTATTAACTTATTTATTTTACTGATTTGCAGTTTATTTAACGTGAGGTAACACCTTACTGTAAGAATTTTTTTAAAGATAATCGTTTATTGATGCAAATCTATTAATAAGATAATAATGGTTCATTGATACAAGTCTTACTAATTAACCCATAGCTTGGAGGGGAAAAAGTGGATTCATACATTTCCTAAAGGTATTTGCACGTAAGTGAATATAACAAACCCAACAGGAATTGGGACTCGGCTCTACGATTAACAATTTCGTGCCATTATCCATTATACCTCCCGCACATCTATTCCTAAACGGTTTGGGTTACCCATTGAGGTACTGACCAGGCTCAACGTTGTTTAATATTTGGTGATCATATGGAAGCTGATGCTTCAACGTGATGTGACCGTAAGACTTTTGGTAATGAAATAAATATATATTTTTTTTTAATTCAATGAATTTTTAAGATATCACTATTTTTATTTTTTACTTTTTAATATAAAATAAAATAAATCTAATTCATTTCAATTTTTAAAATACAATAAATTAAAATATTACTTCTTAAAAAAGAAGTAATATTTAAATTAATTTATTTTAATTTAATTAACAAAAAATATTTTAAATGAAAAAAAAAAACATTTTTCTAATTTTTTCTATAACCGTCACAATATCCGCGTCGTGTGGGTGGAGAAAAAAATCAGTTAAAAATATTAAACTGAACACTATTAAAATTAGATTTTTAGATGTGTAAAATTTCTATTTTCATCTTGGTGCATAGACTGATAAATAAACCAAAACATGACTATATTGGAATGTTTAAAAAAAAAATTAATATTCGATGAAATACGTTGGCGTCCTTTTTTTTTTGGGGGGGGGGTGTTTACTTTTAACAAACAACTCACCGAAATTTTAAAAATATTTTTCAAAATTGATTTAGTGTATTTATTTTTTTACGAATAATGATTTACGTTCTACAATGCTTAATTTTTAACTTAAAGTAAGTATCTTCTTTTCCTTAAAACAAAAAAAAAAGTCTATTTAGAAAAGTAAATATTGTTTAGATGTTTTTATCTCAGTAATCATGTCATAGGATAATATACTAATTCAACCAACAGTTGGTCAGATTCCCGGCTCTTTACCGACCTTTTCTACCAGTTACGTGTATTTGCGGGAAATTTAAACGACTTACATAACCGGTTCTACAAACAGTTTAGAGAGTAAAACCATGTGACCGTTTATGAATGAGTAATCGCAAGCTGAATAGAGTTACCTCCCTTTGTCGTTCTTGGCTGTTTTTTTATGCTATTGCTTTTGTCAAGAATTCAAATTGACCAATCAGCGAGATTTGCCTGTTGCCCAACTTCAAACAGTATTTTGATGGTTGATGTAGACAAAAATTGCTTAAAAATTCAAAACGATTTCTCGACAGTATGGGAAAGTAAGTATTTGTTAATTTCAATATCATGTGTAATCAGAAAATATATATAAAAAGTTATTTTGTATTCAATATTGTGCATTATTAAGTGTGTTTGATATTTTTTATTTTTTTTTTTTACTTTATCTTTGTTCGTTTAAGCTGAAAACATGCCCCCGCCAAAGTTGAATTAATAATTTTTCCCCCACAAAAATGAATGTTTATTTGATTTAACTTGTAAAAGTTAAGTTAATCGTGTAATAATATAGTTCAGAAATATTTTTGTAACTTTGTAGACTTTGATCTTCCTGCATTAGTTGTTTTCGCTTCTACTTTTTTATTATTGATATTAACGTAACCGTCGTTAAAAAAGAAAAAAAGATTTAAAATTAAAAATATTTATTTCTTTTTCGTTATATCCAGGAATTTTTAATAACTTTTTTTATCTCTTAATTTGTCTTTTTCGTATTCTTGTTGTCTTGGAAAATTTTGCATAAAAGATTTTATTTAGTTTTTGTCTGTTTTTCAACAGAATTTTACTAATCTATCGGTATTTTAAACTGAAACTCTTCTTAGTCTTAATTTCCGAATCGGTGACTAAAAATTGAAACCAGAAATCCAAATAATTGTCAGGAAAAATTGTTACATTATTTTAAAATTTTCAATTCATTTACTGAAATTCTAGCCGTTAGTAAAAACTTTCAACTTTGGACAAATTGAACATCTTTTATTTTTATTTTTCATCCAACCTGCATTCGTTAACGGTACCGTAAAAACCAGTATATGTATTTGGGTTAATAATAACAATTAGTAAATGACCATCCATATTTTTTTCCTTTCATTTCTGTTTAAAAGCCGCTAATCATTTGTTTATTTATTTATTTATTTTTTTGTCTTTTGCTTCAATAGCCAGTAATTCTAACCTTTTTTTTTTTTATTGTTATCAGATTCAGTTCATTATCCAATCATTCACATATACAAATAATTATAAAATCGTGCCAATTTGAAACGGTTGAAAATCTCACCATTGGTAGGCCTTTTTTTTTTTTTTTATAAATCAGATGAACATTCATGAGAATGTTGCAAGTAAAATGAATAGCGTCAGCTTTTTGTACTTAAATCATTTAATAGGAAAGATGGTAGTGGCCTAAAATTCTAATGAATCTGAAAAAAAAAAAAACTTCAAAGAAAAACCTATTAAAAGAAAATTAGTTACTCTGATTCGATTTCGTGTTTAACTCGCATCGCCGTTGTAGACAATATTTTCCTGAGTAATTTTTAAGTGCTTTCACTTTTCAATCATTTACAATAATTTACCTACCATTTACTTTACTTACTTTCTTCGTTCCATCGGGCCTGGAGATTGCGTTGAAGCTTGAAACAAACTGCCTCCCTCACAGTGTTTCCAATAAAATAAATAAATAATAGTAAAAAACAAACTAAAAAAAGTGATACCTAAGATTTTAAAATGAATTTTAAAAATAAAAAAAAATTATTGAATTTTTTATTTTAGTTTTATTTCTAAGTTAATAGAAATAAATATATCCCAATAAGCAAACTTTTGCTGTATTTCAAAATGAATTTTAAATTGATTAGAATTGTTTTTTTTTTGTTAAATCGCTAAACGTCTATATTGACAATTCTGTCAACATTTTAATTCTCTTTATTAAACAAAATCTTTCAAAAATAACATACTTTTCTGAAGCTTTGTTTTATGAAGATTGAAGATTAACTGATTTACATTTTAATTAGTATGAATTGAAACACATTACTTACTTTTTTTTAGTTCAAAATGTTGCAGAAAAACTTTTTTTTTTTTTTTTTTTAACACTGTAAGTGGGTGTTTTTATGAATTGTTGACTTATTGCTCACTTAATGTTTGGCCTTTTAAATAAAAGGCACCTAGCTATAGGTACCTCCAAAAACTTTGAATTTTTCATAAAGGAAAAAAAAATCCTTTTCGAAGCTTTCAAACCACTTCAATTGAAGGGTAAAGGATTAAATTTTCTAATTCCAGAAAAAAAATACTGTGGAGTCATTCAAAAAGAAATTTGAATGATTTTTAGTCCATTCTTTCGAAAAACTAATCGAAACGGCCATTTTTTTACTTTTTTAGAGAAATGTAAACAAAACTTATTTTTCGGTTTTGAAAATCCCGCTAAAATAAAATGTACATTTCTGAAACGTTACTTTCGTAAAATTAGTTGTAAAACTAAGTGAACCCTTTTTTCTTTATATATATTATATATATATATATAATTTTTTTTAACTATCCAATAATCTTTAAAAATCTAATTTTATTGAATTTTAGGTACTTTATCTTTTATAGTCTTACTAACGAAGACACTTGTTGAGGAAATGCTAGAAAATTACCAATAAATTTTAAATTTACTATAGTTACCGCTCTTATTTTCTGTGTTTATTGTGTATGGACATCCATATTTACAAAAATTAGCATGTTTATATAGGACAAAAGCAAAATTTAGTTTGGATGTAATTCTAGAAATCATGTATGGGGGAAAGATGGCGATGCCTTCAAACAAAAGAACACAATTCCAACAGTGAAATTTAGTGGTGCCAACGTCATGGTTTGGGGATATTTTTTCTGTAAAAGGTACTGGCAATATATCAGTAATAGATGGTAGAATGAATGCCACAGCATATCAAAATATTTTGGAATCAAATTGAAAATCTTGAACTTGCTCCTTATTGGATCTTCCAACAAGATAATGATCCTAAGCACACTGCAAAATCTACAAAGAATGGACTTACTGAAAATAATGTAATTTTCCTGAAATGTCCAAGTCAGTCCCCAGATTTAAACCCAATTGATAATCTGTGGCGTTATTCGAAATTTCAAATATCCCAGATCTGAAGACCATTTGTGAAGAAGAATGGAACAAAATACCAACTAAAATTTGCAAATTATTAATTGAGAACTACAAGAAGAGGTTGGTTGCTGTAGAAGTGAATAATGGCTATTCTACAAAGTACTAAGTGAAGATTATGTATTCTTTTTTTTTTGTATTGTACAAATATTTTTCACTCATTAAAATGAATAAATGGAATTTATTTTGATTTAAATCAAAAAATGTTTCTGTTTTTATGCATATTTATTTATTATGCACCAGTGTACATTTAATTAGCTGAAAAGTATGCTTATTCATTAGTTGGAAATCAATAAATTAAAAATTTTATATGTACGAATATTTGTTCCCCCACCCCACTCTGTATACACATAATGTGTATGTTAATAAGACAAAAGGAAAACTTAACCAATGAATTTCATCTGAGGGACTTCATGAAGGCAAATGTAATCCATCAAAAGCACATTTGCCTTGATAAAGTCCCTTGGAGGAAAAAAATGTATTGGCTAAGTTATTTGGAATGCTTCTTTATATGAAACTGAGTGATATTTTAATAGCCATCTTTCTATTGTTATCAGATGATGATGAAAACCCTTTTTCTTTCTCTATGAAAAGAAAATTGAATTTTTTTTTTTTTTTTTTTTTTTTATTCCATTTAATTGTTTGTTCTGTTTATGCATGTCTACCATTTGTGGATTTTATTTGGTGGGCAGCTTGTTTACTCTTATTCAATCAAATAGGCAAGTCTAGATTGGTTGTGATAACAGAATTGTAATTAGTTAAATAACATTAGATTGATTGTGTGTGTGTGTATATATATATATATATATATATATATATATATATACACACACACACAATTAAAGCCATTGCCCTGGGTAATAAACTACATTTGGCCTCTGATTGGCAAATTGGAGATTTTGAGGAGCCTAGAACCATCTCCTAATTGCTATTGTTCCTGAGTCCACCCTGACCCTGGGTAGTCACTCCTGCACCAGTTATGGGCAAATAGTGAACTCCAAACAAAAACCAGTACATTTTTATAATAAAATGAACAGCAATTCATTTTTTATAGCAAAATGACAATGCAGTACTATAAAAATGTATTTTTATAGTAAAATTACTAAAAATACATTTTATGATCTACAAACTATATATCTAAAACAAATATACCTTTATTTGAAAAGTATAAAATTATGTACAAAATATATTCAGTTGAGGCTATAATATTGCATTCTAAATATTTAAATTTTGGCATTAAATGACCCACAGAGGTCAATATACTATACTGCTAAACAAAATCAACAAACAATTAAAGACAGCAGTTGAAGTAACAAATTTTGTTTATTCAAGTTTTTAGTATATGGGTGTGGTGCAACTTGACCTCCATAATTTTTATTTATTTATTTATTTTTTTTTTTTTTAAGACACCACTTATCAGACCTTCTAAAAAAAGTCATAGATGAATCACTTGAACAGCTGATAGGGTTGTGGGAGGAGATTGGGTTCCCAGAAGAGCAACTTGATGAACGCTGCAATAGCGTGGTACGTCATGTGGAAAACCTGTTTGAGGAGATGGTTCAACAGGAGGCCAGCGTGCGTGATGGATTAGTTAATAAGATCAAGGACATTGGCGAGAAGTTGAAAGTCTTAAGTAAGGAACTTTCACTACCTTTGTATCAGGTAAAAATCTCCATTTTTCTTTTTTCTTTTCTTTTCTTTTTTTTTTTTTTATAGCATTTACTTTATAATACTAGTAATATCTATCAGACCCAAGAATCTGATAATTTTACAATAATCTTTATAGTAGGTATCCCAAACTATTTTTTTTTTATTTTCAATATATCTATATATAGCTTTTGATATAGCCATATAGAGCTTGACAAAACAGAAAATGGTACCAAATTTATCTTGCAAGCTCAATTAGCAACCGGGCTATGACCATTCAAATTGACTGCGATCGGCCAGAAGCCCATTTTAACTGTGTGTGTATATATATATATATATATATATATATATATATATGTGAAAAGGCAGGCTTCAAACAAGTGAAAAATCATTATAAATGCAATGTCAGTAATACGAATGGAATTAATAATTGTTTGATAAAAACCAGCCTACACAGTGGGGGTGGTGGGTGTCTCACAGTCACTCCTAAAAACAGTGCAAAAATAAGAGGTAGGTAAATTTGGCCTTTCATAAAATTTCAATTCTACAGTTAAGTTATTGAAACTTCTTAGTATTTCATACTATCCTAGAGATTAAGTTAATTTTTTTTTCACAGGAACACATCAGTAAATCAATTCTTATTTCACCATGTAAGTACAATTGTAAGCAAAATTTGATAGTAGGACCAAAAAAGGGGTAAAAAAATATACCTTCTTGAACTTGTAAAAAAAAAAAAAAGAAATAGTATCCGGGGTTTGTACAAGCCTGAAACTTTATTCATTTTTGGATGAGGAATTCAACAAAACAGTTATTTTGTCTATAATATTAAAACTTTTTCTCATAAATGTATTTTATTTTTTTTGAAAATTTTGTAAATTTATATCGTTTTTGACTTGCCCAAAACTTTGAAACAAATGTTTATTGTAAAGCCTTAAAACTCAGTTTTTAAATATTAAAAAAAAAAAAAAAAAAAAAAAATTGAAATGAGTAAAAACACATTTATTGGAACTGATGAAAGACTTTCTAGGCGGTTTAAACAGTCCTACTGCACTTCCTCTCCTAATGGTGAATTGCAGTCTGAATTTTTTATAGACTTCTATAACCAGTATTTTTGGAAGATCACATTATATGGTTCTTCATTGCAGCTACCAGAGTTAGTCACTGGGTCTTCAAGTTCCTGTGATGTAATTTCAATGGCAGTGAGTTCATCAACTATAAAAAAAAGCATCATGGGAAGACTCTAAAAAGGCTCCCGAGTCATCTCCTTTTGTGGCTAAAATTTTCTTGGCTTTGTTAAATGTTTGCTGAACTTGCTTCATCAATCTTTACTGTTCCATCCTTGTATTAAGATAGTTTGCAGAACCATGCAAAAACCTGCAAGTAAAAATGTACAATTCTTGCATCACAAAAGAAATAGGAAAAAAAATAAGAGGGCTTCTTAACAAAGATTTTGTGAAGAAAGAATTTTTTTTTTGTTAAATTGTCCTCTAAACCTGTGAGCTCTTTGCCTATTTAAGTGCTTTCCTCATTTACCTTATGGGTCCTTAAACCCATAAAAATGACAGAAGTTGGGCTAAGTAAAAGATGAGACCTCACCAGAACTGCACTTGGATTACTGGGTATTACTGCTAATCCATTAAGACCCCCACACACACATCACATCACATGTTCTTTTCATCACACTTTTAACTGCATCTGCAACCTTCTTGTACATTGCAAGGAATTTGGGACTACTTTGGCTTGCCTCTTCCACAAATAATCTCTCAGGATGTTTAGTTAATCATCCACTAACAGAAGATTTGAAATATTCATCATAAATACATGTAAATTTAAAAACCTAAAGTAGTTCCCAAGCATGGCTACCACTAAAAAAAACAAAAAAAAACAACAGACACCCATGATATTGGGAAAAACAGAAATAAAAAAAATTTTTTTTACATAAAAATATATGAACTGGAAATTTTAAAGTTACATTCTTTTTTTTCAAATGACAATGTTTTTCTCTTGAATTGTTATTGTTGAATTTAGTATTAAAATTTGCTTAAAAGTAAAAATTACCATAAAATAAAAAAAAAACTGCTTTCAAAGTTTTAAAAAAACTAATATTTACTCATTACTAAAATATAGTTTAATTTTAGTATATGTAATTTTTTGCAGACCCACAATAGTAGTTCAACTGAAAAATGTATCCCTTTATTTTATATAAAATGTATCAAGTCTGATTACAAATAATGTAAATAAATGTTAATCCACAAAAATTAGTTAATTAGTAAATACAAAAGAGATTTTTGTAAAATTACACTATTTTATATACACAAATGTGAGATTTATAAAAATAAATTATGTGTGTATATATATATATATATATATATATATACACACACACACATTTGAAAATTACAATTCATTATGTCATTTTTTACATACACAAATTTTCCTATTTTTACCATTGACAAATACAAGCGTGTAACTGTAAAATTTAATTAAAATCTGTATTGCTAGTTTATTTTTTAATGCCTATTTAGTTATGCAACTTTAGAATAAACATAAGAAATATAAGGAAAAGATTTAAACTCACCTAGAAACTGAAATGTCCAATGATTTTTTTTTTTTTCTTAAGTCTGATTTAAAAGCTCTGTATTGTCGGTCAACATGGCTAGTGAATTCAAATTTAAAAAATGCCTCATATTTGTTCATGCTTCAAGTTAATTGGACATAGTGATATGAAATCAGCTGATTATTATCGATGAAATATTACTCTATAAGGTGTAAGTTTCATTTCTTTTAAGAAGTGAATTTCTCTGGCATTCCATCCATTGGAGTTTTCAACTTCAAAATTATTTGTGAAAAATAACCTCGCATTTTATTATACCTACCAAATTGACAAGGGCCCTCTTTTCTTTAAGATGGAACTATTTTGACATGTGTAGGAACACCTAACTCCAAGCACCATAAATTTCAAAACATAAGTATAAAATCCCCCTTATTTTAAAATGCAGAAAAAGAAGCACCCATCACTGAAACATAACCTCATTTAAAGAGACCTGGGATAAAAACTAATTATCGAACAAGAGAATTTTTTTATCTATATAAAGAGAAAACATTGAATTTTCTTTACAAACTAAGTTTATCAAAATAACTTTAAAAATACTTGAGATATAGCCAGTTGAACTTTTTGACCCATTTTCGCAATGTAAACTATTTGGTTTGGGATACCTATTTATAGTTAGTCAGATTTAAGCTTCTCAGGTTTTATTTATTTATATATATATATATATATAGCGCATTGAATCATTTCATTGGCTCCTTTTACATTCTTTGGTTGTAATAGTATTACTTCATTGTGTGAACCTCTTTCTGCAGCCTGATCCAAAACTGAAAATATTACAATGTCGCAAGGACCTCCATCTTAAGCTTGAAGCTCTCACCAAACAGAAGCACACTCGCATGGTGGCCTTAAAGAAGCTGTTGGACCAAGAGCAGGTACTGTGTGACCGTCTAAAAGCGAAAACTTATCCAATTTCCAGTAATTGTGTGCCGTCCGATAATCAACTCTGGGAGTTGGAAAAACACATTGAAACACTCCAAGCAGAACAGGTTGGTTTGAATCCTCATTATTTTTCAACTCTTTTTAGGTGAACAAAAAAAGAAAAGTGTCAGTTTATCACTTACTACTGTTTATTATTAAGTTTTGGAGACCCAAGTTAGTCAAGATGAAAGAAAACAATATACGGGGGTCATTGTTAACTCTTCTAAAATGCATTTCCTAAACTGGTTAGAAGCTTACAACTTTGACTTTGTATCTTTAGTGTCACCTATCCTCCCAGCTTAATTATGTTTCGTGAATTGTTTTGGACTCGTAATATTTGATTTGTTTCATTAATTAACGAATTGTCTTCTCACAAAGGGATATATATATATATATATATATATATATATATATATATATATATATATATATATATATATGATTTTGTCTTGTTTATTTATCAACCACTGTGTGTGTATGTATATATATATATATATATATATATATAAATAAAAATAAAAGCCTTAAAAATATTATACATTCTAGTTTTAGTTTGTATATTGTATTGTGCAATCATATTAAGAGTTGGGTGTTGGAAACAGAATTTGATGCAATTTGTGTATTTGTTCCTTATAAATTGGAATCAAATATGAATTAATATCCCAAAATGGTATAATAAGGAACAAATTAAAAAAAACTTTATAAATTGAACATGTTTTGCTTTTATTTAAGCTTCATTAGGAATTTTTAGAAATTTGAAGAGTATGGTCTGATACATTTGAGTTCTGTGTTGTTTTTTATCGGTCAGGTAGTTCTCACATGTTTACATCTTGTGACATTAGCGTTTATATGTGTGTGTGTGTGTGTACGCATTTGGATAGTAGTGGGAGGAAGATGGGAAGTGTGTGTGTATCAAATTTCTAGTTGATCTTGCAGAGAGTTGGTGGTATCAGCATCTGTGATGACTGTTGTTTAGATGTATGTTAAAACCCGCTACCTAGCTGAAGACAAAAATTGTCGCCATAGAATTCTCTCCCTTTGCTGCTCTTGGTGCATTTTGTTGCCTTGAGAGGGTTGCTATAAATAAACACTTGTCAATTTATTTCCTGTATTTTAAACTAGAAGTAGCCTACTACTGATTTGGAATGAGGCTGAACTTCCATTTTCTGATGCCATTTTGAATTCTACACTCTACATGAGGTGTAACATCGATTAAACCCATGTTAATTTTGTCACAATTTTTTGTAAACAAAATTTGCTGCATTAACATCCAACAAAGCCTTTATTTGGGAATTTTTCCTTTGATTTAGACTCGGATGATGATTTTGAAGGCTTTACTCAAGCGGATATTGATGATTATTGGGGAAGTGGTGGGAGATAAATGATGATGATAATGATGCTAGTGACAGGGAGGAAAGCTATGATGACCACTAGGTGCCAAGTGGCTACTATTATCCATAGCTGACTAATTTTATAGAAGCTGCTGGTCCCATGGATTTACCTGATAGCCTTTCTGAAGGTGAATTATTTTGTCTATTTATAAATGACAAATTAACAACTTTATTTGTCAATGGGGCAAATAAATATGCTAATCAGGTGAAAGAAAGAGTAAACAAATTTTCGTGTCTACTCATGTCACAGCTGTTTGAGGTTTCCTACAGACCCACTGAACTTAAATAAAGTCAATTCAGGTTTCCTATGGTAAAATTTTTCTTTCCCAAGTGAAAATCATCACAAAAATAGCAAAAGTCATTTTGTCACAGCTTATTTTCTCTCAAAATATGGGTTTTCATACTTTTTTAGGGTAAAATATGAAAAATGACTGTTTTATCATCACCTAAACGAATATCAAGGAAACTTTTGATCTGAACCCCATGAAACTAGGTATTTTCTGAAAGCAAAAGATATATTCTTTCATTTAAAAGTAAAATTAGCTGGTGTAAATGACTCAAAAATTTTTTCAGTGGGTAAAATGTGAAAAAATAGTGAAAATTTTGCATTTTTTTTCTTGTTCTAAACAAATATTTCCCCATTAATGGGAAATTAACCTTTTTTTTTTTTTTTTTTTTTTGAAAATCAGAAAGCCTAGATCATAATCAAACTATTTCAGGCATAAAATTGAGAGTTTTGAAATCAACATTCCTAGGGGTTCAAAAATCGACAAAATCCATTGTTAATTTTCAATTATGACTGCCAAGGGTTAAAAAAATTGACACCTGGCCACGGAAATCTTTAGTAAAAGGCAAGAGATTTATCTGCAATTCCTAACCACCAGAAACCAAAAGTTTTTTTTTTTTTTTTTTTTTTTTTTTTTTTTCCTAAATAGTGATAAGGGAAAATAAACCCTAATTGACTTTGACGTCTAGGTCAAAGGCCAGCCAGCCAGCTAGCAATAAACGGACGGCAAACCTTAGAACAAGTTGTAATAAAACCCACCACTCCCAGATAAAAGCAAAGGGTGAATAAAAAAAGGGTTCACAATTAGGGCTTCATATAACCTATGTTTGAACAATGGCTTGATAAGTTTTGTTTTGTTTTTAACACCCCGTGACCCGGTGATGACAACAACACTTAGCAGAGAACATTGTTTTTTTTCCCGCATATCTTTTTGTATTTCCCATCGCCGGTCCATTTAGCCTTTCTTTTTTTATTCAATGATGTTCATGCCAAATGAAAGAGAAAAATTGAATGATGTTATTTTGAAGCGAAAATGAATATTTTTTCATTAAAAAAGGGATTTTTCTCAGAAAATTTGCATAATTTCTTAATGCTAACCCGAGTGACATTTTCCACAGCCAAATCGAAGATTAATTACCAGTGAATAATTCCATGTGCAAAAATACCTATTGCCCAAAAGGTCCAGAAGTTTACTAATTGACAAAACCTGTTTGCGCATAATTGTATTTTTCACGGTCAGTTTCCATTATTTCATCTTGATATTATCATTTTCGGACAGCCAAGTCATCAAGGATTCAGGAAAACACTTTGACATAGGTTTTTCTTAAGAACTTTACATTCTATGAGGTGTTTAAAATGTTTGACGAATGAATTTTTTTGCATATTGGTTTGTGGCGCCATGTTGGATTTTCCTATATGACAAAAAAAGGGTTTTAATTAGCTGTGATGTAAATACAAAGAAGGACGTCACCTTTTGAAATAAGTCACCTTAGCCATTTTGCTTCTTATTGCACTCCAGAACTGTTTTGGTCCTTATGTAGCTTTTTCTCTTGCTACTTAGATACTAATTTTGTTGTTCTGTAAAATTGCATGCTAACCAGAATAAACATTAATATTAATAGAATGCACTTTATGACAGATAAGTTACTGGTTCATGAAAAGTAACAAATGAAATTTGGTTCACTAATGCGAGGGGGTGCTGAAAAGTTTAGAGCTCTACCTATTGACCAAAATTTGACAAAATAACCAAACAACACTCCTCTATTCCAACACAATCTTTGAGTTAACTTGATTGCCATGGAAACTGGAATGTGAGAAATCTGAATTCATTACAGTAACTTAGAATCTTTACCTTTTCAATGTTACTGTATATCTTTATAAGTCTCTCTCTCTTTCTTTTCTCATTCATTTATTTACCTGAATTCTTTGCAGGAGAAACGCTTTGCCACGTTCATCATCATCCGAGAACAAGTTCAGGAAGTCATGAAAGAAATTGACACTACTGCTTCCACTGCTTTTGAGAGGCAGGCACTTGTTGAAGATGAATCCCAATTTATCCTCTCCTCTGAGAACATGTCTGCTCTTACTGACCTTCAAGTTGAGGTGAGAAAAATTTTCTACATGCCTTCAGCTTTTAATTGATTCTACATCATGAAATTTTATCATGCAAGTTAACTTTTTTCACAATAAAATTCATATTAAGCAATCGAGGTTGGTCAGGTTTTCATATATTTATATGATAAAATATAAATAAATTTCAGCTTGCAATATCTATCCTTATTAAAACCATTGATAACCTGTTTTAGGGATTTCAGGTTTTATTATATGCAAAATGCAGTAAATTATTTTTTATATATAAGAAATAAGCCACAGAAACATTTTTAATTAGCACAATATTTTATATAACAATTATTTTAAATGTTAATATGGATTCCTTGCTATTCTGTAACCTCCATCAGTTTTTCAAAAATAGATATCGCATGTAAATCTAAGAAGGTTTGCCTGTCATCCAGTTCACACTCCTTCTCGGTCTTTTGAACAAGAATAGACGTTTCTTGTTTAGGATTAGGTTTGAAGTCAACTCTATACATCTAACATCTTCACCTAAACTCTGAAATTTTATTTACTTTTTTTTTCTTCAATAGGATTAAATAGGTCCCCTTGTTGCCTGGTTCACACTCCTCTCTGGTCTTTTGAACAAGTTTGGATGTTTATCCTTTGTTTCCTGTTTAGGATTTGATTTCTAGTTCCTTCTAAAGTATTCATTCTCTTTCACTTCCAGTAGCCCCTTACATCTTAGTAGCATTATCGCCTTGCTTGGGGTGATTTGATTTAAAAAAAAAAAAAAAAAATGACGTTGATGTTTCACACTACTTCATGGACAAAAGGTTGGGAAGGAAGCCCATCATCAATACTGCAATGAGCAATAACAGCTACTTGAATTGAGAAACCTATTTTCCTGGAAGGTTTTAAGAGAAAGAATTTATAAATTTCAACTGACAACGGCACTTGCTGCCTGGTCAGTGAATGCCAAAGGTTTTTTTATAAGAGATCTACTAATACAGGATGTGGTAGAAATACCTCCCACATAATGGTAAGACATTAGTGGCAATGGTGTCTCCATCTAGCTGATGTCTTGCCATTAAATGGGAGGTATTTTTGCTGCTCACTGTATTATCATATTTTATTTTTTTTTTTTTTATTGTATTTGGCTTTTCAAAGATCTTCACTGGACTATTTTCCATTCTCATAAATCTTAGTAGACTGGGCCATTTCTAATAATTTAGTGGGCAGTGGTAAGTGTTGTAGAATGTGAAGGAGCATTATTTTGTATGAATAGTCTTTCAATTGAGGATTCTTGGTTCTAACCTGTACCATTCATAATTGTCTTTTTCAAGTTTTACAGTAATTCTCTACATTTAGCCAATCATCAAATTTTACTGTCTATAATCAAAGCCAAAAACATTACCTTCTCACTGTTGTCTTCTAAATTCTGTTAACTATTTTCATGATGAACTCTGAGTCTGCAATCAGGTCCAACTAATATAGCTCTATATTCATCATTAAAAAGTATACTGTTATGAAATCAGTTTTCATGTACTACTTTGCCCAACTTAGGTTTTTCTTTGTAAACTTTACTTAAAGGTGGAAGATTGTTTTTAGCCAACATTTTTAATATTTGCATCATTTCTATCTGATTACTTCAGCTTCAAATTTTTTATTGCTGGTCTATCCATTTGCTTCTTACCCTTTTAATTTTTCTCAAATGTCTTTTTTTTTTTTTTTTTTTTTGGAAGTTTCTTAAAGCTACTTTCATTTTTTACATGTTGCCAATGGATTTTTAAAGTTTCTGTTTTGATTGTTTTCTGATCTCTGTTTAGTTTTTATGCAATTTCCAGTGTCATGTTCCCATCAGCCAATAACTTTGATATCTTGTGTTTTGAGATTATATCTTATGATCCACAAATCTTTTATATATCTGAAATTGAGAAATAAATACTAACTTTACATTAGATTTATTTATAATAAACAATTTTTGAGTTGCTTAATCTCACACGACCAAATAAGCTTTTGTAAATATTCCTGATAAAAACATAAGCTTAAATTCGCATGATCTATTTATCCTATAAATTTAAGTATACCCTAAAACTTTTATCAACATCAGATGATTGATATCAATTCCATTGTTGAAACAATGACTTGCATAATACAATTTCTATTGAAGACTGGCAAAATTACACTTTTCATCATTATGAAAATTATGGTAAATTTCTTTCTCTTTCAAATATAAAAACTTTTGAAATTACATTTTACAATGCTACTATCTTTGAAAAAATATTTATTAATTTTTTTTCATTTATAGATAAAATGTATATATGCTCAGTGGCTGGGTATTGAACTTTTATTTTGCATTGGGTTGGTGCGTAATTATCAGGTATTTCTGTAGGTGTTTTGCTTACTTTTTTTTATTAAAAATAATGTTTTATTTTCAGGTTATAAAAATGTGTCAATCATACGCCCTGGAATAATCATTTAAAAATGTTATTGTTGGATTGTTATGTTTCTTTCTTTTCATAATAAATATTGTTTAAAAACGCCTGATAATTATACAGCAATCCAATATTTGTGTGAGAACTGGGCCTAATTTATACACTGTTCTATTGTAATTTTATTTAAATATCTAAATTACCTTTGAATTTAAACTCTACAATATTTTCCTGTGATTTGATTGATCTATAAGGATTAATTCTCTGAGCCTTTTCTTTTTCTAAAGTTGGAAGTAAATGAGAAATTTACCCAATTTTTAAAAGTTTTTTTTTTTTTTTAACTGATAATTCTAAATCACTAAATACATTTTCTTCTAAATCCTCATATTTAGGTAAATGATCGAAAAATGAAAGCTGAGGAGAAGATGCAATCCATGAAGAACCGTTTAAATCTGCTTTGGAATCGCCTGGAAACTCCTGATCAAACCAGGGAAGAGTTTCTAGCAGACAAAGTATCTTTGACACAAGATACCTTTACTGCTGTGAGTAATAAATTTCTTTATTTAAACACTGATTTAATCATTCCACCTCCAACATTTACAAAGAAAAAATATACATTTTTGTCTCGGGCACAATATTCTGGATAGATGGGGTTATATTTATATCTGTAGAAAAAAAAAAATAAAAATAAAAAAAAAAAATAAAATAGTACAAGAATTCTTACAAGTTTTCATGTTTCAGTTTAAAAAAAAAAAAAAAACGCAAATAAAATTTTTAATTCGACTTTTTCTTTTATTTCTTTACCTGTTTAGCAATGCTATAAAAAATGATGACATTTTTTTCCCAGTTATTATTGTACTCTGCTCCTTTTATAGTCTTGGTCTTGTCAGTTTTTGATTTCATAAACAGTTTTAAACTATTTGCCAATGTTATAGCAAGGCACTGTCACCTGATGTCGCCAGTGCAAAGGTGATAATTCTAGCACAGCAAAGTTACAGAGGAAAAACCTGTCATACACACTTAATATATTCACTTGGAATTGGATATTGGAGAGGTAAATTCCAACTCTAGTCAGGTTTGTTATATTCACTTCCACACACAAATCCCTTGAGAAAGGTATAAATCCACCTCTTCTTCTTAATTAGTAGGAATTGTGTTTGTAAATCATTATCTCCAAAAAATTTTAACAATCTAAAAATATTTACTGGTTTTAAATAACCTACAAAATATTGACAAACTGTAAAAAAAAAAAAAATCTATTAATTGCTTAAAAATTACTTTATATATAATGTCTGTGTTTTCTTTCTGTTCTCTTTCTCCCAAAGCGCATAGCTGTAGATTTGGTGTGTCTGTGTAAATATGCTCATACTTTGGTATTTGATGTTTTTGGCAATCATGGTATTTCTGTTTGCTCTGCTATATAACATAAAGGGAAATTACTCTGTATGACGCATCAACCATCTAAAAGGACATGTCTATATTCATTTATTTCTCTGAGCTTTCTTGTTTATAAATTCCTTTTATGATTCAAAATAATCTGACTTAAAAAAATTTTTTTCTTTATTCATTTTAGCTTTGACTTTGAAATTTAAAGTTTGAATAAATCTTAGCTCTATTTTATTTTTTTAACTACTGGAAGGCACGATGGAGTAATGGATAGTGGCTTGGATTGTGGAAACGGCGAGCCGAGTTCGAATTCCAATCAAAACCATTACATTCACTTACGTGCTAATACCCTTGGGAAAGGTATGAATCCTCTTCTCCCCCCAGCTATGAGTAAATAGGACAGACTGGGTTCTATAGCCTTGGATGGCAACTGGTCTACTGCAGAAAGTAATGGCAACCTACTGTGGGGAAAAAATCTGCCTCGTCAGTCATGTATCAAAAGATACATGATTGCCTAAGCACCCATGGCACATAACTGACTGTTTGCATTATTAACAATGATTTTTAGAGAAGTTTCTCAAAAGTATCGTTTATTAATGGTTCAGATTAAATGTCTTTTTTTTTTTTTTCTTTAATTTCAGTTAACAGAGGAAATTACTCGCCTTGAGGCTTTGAAACATAGCCAGATGGAAAAAGTTTGTGTAAGCATGAAAAGAGAACTGGAGCAATGGTGGGATGTTTGCTTTATCCCAAAAGAACAGAGAGATGAGTGCAAAAGTTATAAAACTGAGGGTAAGTGACTACTACTACTACTACTCCTCCTCCCACTCTCTACACATTAACATTAATTCATTTTAATGGTGATTTACTTTTAGATTTCTCTCAGTAGTTTTTAAAACTCCTATGACTCATTCAGAAAAGATATTTGGCTCTTCTGTAACTCTGAAAAATCTGTAGTGATGATTTTCATAAAACTCTTAAAGGTTTATCAAGGATGTTAAATTGCTTGTCTGATAAACGCTAAAACGACATCCTTATTTGAAAAATAATGATACTTCATGCAACATACTCATATAGATGTCAGTGCGCCAGAATAATTAATGAATGCAATTTTAAGTCGACAGTTTGAAGACTCTTTTACTTATCATACCAATATTTAAGTTTCTGAAGTGAGCACCCATTTAAATATTTTTCTAATAAAGGGTGTTTCATTAAGACGGATCAAAGTCAGCAGTAAATAAATCAGTGTTATTGGTGAAAATTTAATGTGGCTGTAAGTGAATGTGAAAAATTGTAAACATAAAAATCTTGACTTTGATATTCTGGCATTGAATATATACAAATTTTTTGTGGCATATTCTTATGAATTTAACTTATTAACTTCTGTAACAGGAATGCAAGATGTAAAAAAAAAAAAAAATTCTTGTTTATTTTAGGTGTGTTTACTGACGCTGTTGTGGATGCCTTAGAAACTGAAATTGGTCGCCTTCAAGCATTCTATCAGAGACATGAGAGCCTATATAGTCAGGTGAAGCAGTGGGAACAATTGCTGGAAGAATTCACAGTTCTTGAGGTAAGTTGTCACCTGACAAGAGTACAAATTTACTTTGGAACACTGTCTTGTCCTCTTAATTTATAAGAAGTAATTTGACAACTTGTATTAGGGAAAGTGGAAATTTTTTTTTTTGTAATATGCATTATACAAGTTGTATGGGGGGGGATAAATTTCTGGGCATGTTGATTTTTTTTTTTTTTTTTTTAATTAAATTTTTCATAACATGAAGAGGGATAGATGAGATCTTGCTGGGGTGGAGGGGAAAGGACAATTAATATGAACAACAGAAAATCATGTTTTAAAGGGGTTTCAGAGTAAATAAACTGAAATTTCAAGGGAGAGAGATGTGTTTTTTAGTCAACTGCATAATTGAAATAAAAAAGATGTCAAGAGAAGGAACTGAACTGCTGAAAAGAATTTGAATTTTCAAGAAAAGTAGGAATACTTATATTTTGTGATAGATGTAAATAGTATTGCCAATTGACCTGCATTTGAAAAATTGTGTAAATTTTTTTTTTTTTTTTTAAACTCTAACAATTGGAATACATGCAAAATATGCACCACCTCTCTCTTTCAGTTTTTATCAGTCAAAATTACCAACTGTTAATTCAGTTTTGTGGGTCTAAGGGAGTTGACAGACATGTTTAGGAATCTCTGTGGTCTCCTGCTTGTGGCCTGCTACAGCATGTAAAGGCCCTTTTGTATTCTTGAGAGTTTGAAAACCCAGTTTTTAACTTTTTTTTTTTTTTTATATATAACCAAAACTTTACACATGTAAATATTTCAAGTTAGAGTAGTACTTACATAATGTTTCTACTGACAGCTGATTTGAACTTAATCTTTCCCTTAGTTCAGCAGTTTTTTATGGTTGTCCAAATATAGCCAACATTCCTTCTATGCCACCTCCCAAGTTAAAATTTGATAGTGGTGTACTTATTTTTTTTGTCATTTTTATTGTTCATAGATGATCTGATGAGTGAAATGGTAACAATACTATTTAAAAATAAATAAATAAAATGATAGTATTGTGAAAATGTGTGCTTTGGAGAAATTATTTTCATTGTTCCAGTGATTACTTTGAAGACTAACATACAACGCTAGTTCATGTTGCAAGCTGATATTGGAATCTACTTAAAAAAACAAACGAAAAAGGTTACTATTGGCAAAATTTAGCATTCGTACCTGAAAAAAAGAAATTGTTAAAATAAAGTTTTTCCTCTTGATACTGCTATTACTGTATACTCTGTCAGCAATTCTTATTTTAAAGTTATTTTTAGAATTTTAATGAAGCCAAACAGGAAACTGGTTTATGCATTTTCTTTTTGTCTTGAGAATTGATAACAAAAATAGTAAACTTTTTTTTTATTAGATTGTTTGCTTACAAGAATAATTTTTTATTTAAACATTTATAAATATATGTAGACCAGTTACAATGCAATATTTATTATTTGCTATAAAGAAATAACTTTTTTTTTTTTTTTTTTTTTCATGAATTTCTAAATATCTGCTAACAAGAGAACAACAAAATTTAAATAAACGCATATTGAGTAACTAATTATAAATTTAGAAAAAAGGCATTTTCTGGCTATTTCTTTAATTTGCTCTCACCACATAAATTCACAGAAATAGGTTGTGAGCATCTGGATTTATACATTTTTTTTTCTTGAGAATTAACAACAAAACTATACTATTATTTATTAACCTGTTTATTTAAATTAATAGTATTTAATACTTTTGTTAATTCTCAAGAAAAAAAAATAGAATGTATAAATTCAGTTTCATATGGTTGGGTTTTATTAAAATTTTAAAAATGACTTTAATACAATAAAAATTTCTGAGGGAGTATACAGTAATAAGAGCCAAGAGAGAAACAGTCCTTTCATCTTTTTTTTTTTACTATGTGAGTTTTGGAGAAATTCTCATTGTTTCAATTACAGCATTGAAGACTGACATACAATCCTAGTTTGTATTACATTATCTGAAGCTGATTTTAAAATTTGGTTAAAAAGAAAAAAGTTGCATAACAAATTAAAATAATTTTTGGGAATGTTTTAGCAAATATAAATATTTAGAGAATAGTTTATTTTTGTGTTTTTACTTGTATGAATTTACTTAGGAACAAGTACCGAAGCTTGCATCCTTTAACTAATTGTAGGGTGATTGAGGGCACTATATATATATATATATATATATCCATGGCAATGGATGTGTCTAAGGCAAGATAGTCTAATGAAAAACCATTCCTATTCAGGCTAGTTTTGAATTTAGTTATCTTCTGTTACTAGTTTCTCTACCAAGGCTAAAGGCCTAGCTTTACTCTACTTCACCCATAGCTTGGGAGAGAAGAAATGCATTAGCACAAAGTGAGTACAAATATCTTTGGTTGAAATGTGAACTCTGATCACCAGTTCTGTTTTCTACAAGGATAAACATAACACCAATTGCACCTCCCTTGGAAACCAGGCAAGCTCATAGATATATACAAGTCGTTTAAATATTTGTAATAAGTATTCCAAAATAAATCTTTAATGCCTGTAAATTTTTAGAATGTACAAATGGTTTCTGTTTTTATAGAGAATCAATTAAAATTGGTGATTTGGAAGATTTGTTAATTGGGATACTAAACTCAAACTAAATTTAAAGGATTAGCAAAATTGATTTTAATCTTAGTACTTGGCTAGCCTTGAAGCAGTAATTCAAACTTGATTTAAACAAATTAATCATTAGGTTTTATAATTATACTATCCAAAATGTCTGAGTTTATGTAGAAGTAAATTATTTTAAAGTTTGTCTTATTTTTCTCCAGAAAAAAGCCAATGATCCAAATCGATATAACAACAGAGGTGGTGCTTTGCTTCAAGAGGAGAAGACAAGGAAGAGAATAATGAAAGATTTGCCTAAGGTATTTTTTTTTTTTTTTTTTTCCCATTTGGAAAGAAGCAGAAGACAAGTATGATATAGCCTAAATTTACTCAGAGCAAAAGCTGTCTTTTGAAAAAAAAATTCTGATTGTCAGTAAGTTTCTATTTCAAAAGTTCAAAGTAGTATTTTTCTTAATGCATATTTACATTTTATCACAACACATTTTCAATTAAAGAATAAAAGATTTTCTACTTTATTATGCTTGCTATTGAATTAATTAACCTTTTTAAATGCACTTAAGTGTAATGTGCTCAGATTGACAATGTTAGTATTGCCTACAATTTTTTAAACATTTTTTTTTTTTTTTTTTTAGATAGTATGGAAAAGTTTCTGGACCAAGTACACTTTTACCCCAGTAAATAATATATTTAATTTGGCCACCGTCTCCTTCAAAACTCTACTCTTGGAATTGCACAGAGTGCCTTGTCCATGCCTCGAAAGCATCATGCAAGTCTTCTGATACATGTTCAGGCTTTGTGTGAGAATCATCAAGAAAACTTTATAAGTGATTCTGATCATGTAAGAAAGCTGTTTGGTGACAAGTTTCATAGTCAAGTTGATAAATCTTTTTTTTTTTTTTTTTTTTTTTCCATAGCATTTTGCATTTTCTTGCATTTTGCTAGTGATTGGTTTCTCTGAACATATATCATTTTCAATTGACTTGCCATTGAAAAATGTGTGTTTGACCAAAAGAAGGTTTGTCAAAAACCTAATGAAATCTTTCAAGGGTCATAGTAGCAGGTTTGCCAAATTTTGATGCAGATGTTGATGCAGGTGCTTAAATTTGTTAGTTATTGTAAAGATTGCAGAGCCGTTCAAACAGTGTTATAAAACCTTGAACAGCACAAGTAGCATTAGTCTTATTGGTATACTGACTACCAATGAGTGTTACCTACACATGCATTTCTGTTAAACAGTAAAATCCCGGCATATAAAATCCAGGGACTTTCTGATGCTACCTTTTTTATTTTGATACCCCTTTTTTTTTTTTTTTTTTTTTTTTTTTTTTTTTGTAGTTTAATTGGTTGAAACACAAACGTATCTGGAAATTCTTATAATTAATAAAAAATCAATTTTCAAGAGGTACAAATTGTAAAATGTTACTGAAGATTTATAGCTGTCGGTATCAACTGGTCATTGGAGTTGCTCAAAAGTCTTGAAAAGATGTTTCATTTAGTATGATTTTAAAATTGATATTTTCTCTTTCTCAGCTGGAAGCAAATCTGGAAGAATTGATTAAGAAATGGGAAGAGGAACAGAATCTGAAATTTGTCATTTATGGAATGGCATTCTCTGATTATGTTGTCAAGCGTTATGAACAGATAAAAGAAGAGAAAGAAAGAGAGAAAGAACAAAGAGTAAGTATCTGAAATAAGAAATTGGTTTGAAACTTAAAATTTCTTTTTCTAATCTTTTTCTCCCAATCTTTGTCTTGATTGGTAATTCATCATTTTCTACAGATGTGTGGAATTCATTAACACGTAGACTGCCAACTTATTGTTGGTAGTTTTTATGACACAGACTACGAATTATCTTGTGCTTGGCATTTTCTAATACATTTTCAACTGTGAGCACCACAGATTTGTAGTGATACTTTTAGTATGACAAACAATGTTAAGCCTTCAGTTGAAGCCATAAATCAACTTGTAAAAATTTGTTATTGACTCAGTTGGCTATTATAAAGTTGGCATTTGAATTCCGATTTTGTAATTTACCTTTGGCAGTTGATGTGTTAAAGTATGAAAAATTTGACTAACATGAATATTAATTTCAGAGAATGTTTTAAAAGAAGAAAATATTAGTTTTCATGTTTGTTCTTTGCCTATTTTAATAATTTACCCCCCTTTTTATTGTAACTGTCCACAACAGATGTATTTACAGAAGGTAATTTTATAGTGGCTCAGAAAGAGAAATTTAATTCTCGTCTGATTCATTATAATCACTTAGACACAAATACCTTTGGGGAAAGGTATGAATCTATCTCCTCCCCCAGCTATGGGTTAAATTGTAGGACTTGTGGGAGAAAACAGCGATCTGCAATCGGCATTTGAAAAAATAGGCAAACAAAACACAAAGTGTCAAATGTTTCAGATAATGGGTTTCAGCATTTCAACAATGTCTAGCCATCTCAAGAAAATTGACAAGGTGAAGAAACTTGATAGATTCTACATGAACTCTAGTTCAATATTTTGAATTCTGTTTGGTGTTGAATTTGTGAAATTCGAATGATCTTTTTCTTGATTGAATACTGACTTGTAAGCAATTGGCTTGATCATGATGAAGAGCCCAAAACATTTTCCAAAACTGAAATTGTATCAACCAATTACATCTTTCTGGAATCTAACCAGAGCATCATTGTTGAAGTTAAGCAAAATGTGACTGGCACTTGTTAATTGACACAGTCCAATTCTGCTTCATGGCATATGTTACCAGGATATCACTGCAGAAGCTCATTGACTTGGACTACAAGACTTTGCTACATCCACCATATTTCCCTCATCTCTCCTCACTAACTACCACATTTTCAAGCAACTTGACAATTTTTTAAGTTTATTCCATTGCAAAGATGTAGAAACTGCATTCAGAGATTTCTTGGTATCCAAACTTTTACAGTTTTATTTTAAAGGCATAAATAACTTTGTAAATCTGTGGCAGAATTGCATAGATTTTCAGGTTCTTATTTTGACTCGTTTACATACTGTTTGAATATATTAATTCAAAAATAAAATTTGATTTTAAAATTGGACATTTCTTTCTGAATAATCTAATACAGTACTGTTCGATAAAAGTGACTCACCTGATTTTTTTTTTTTTTTTTTTTTTTTTTTAATAAAAATGTTTTTTGTCTATTGTCTTGTGGGTTAAAATAATTTTTAATCTTACTAATATAAAGACCCCTTCCTGACCACCTAGGAAAAAAGTTTATTCATCCTATTGATAATTATAAATTTGGATATAAATGAAATTCAGGAAAAAACTGTGCAAAAAAAAGTGACTCAGATATCGCATTCTAATGATTAAACTGGTAAATTTAAAGAGCTTTTGACAAAATATTGAAAACTATTTTACAATAGAGCCAGAACAATATTCTAGAGAATTCTAGAACAGCTTAAATTAAATCTAGAGTATTCCAGGAAGCCTCATACAGTATAAAAACAACTTGAAATAGCCACTCAATTCACTAACCAGATGAAAGGGTACAAACACGCATCAGAACCATTTAAGGCATCTACTATTTCCCTTTCAAAAGCAGGCAAGTCTATGAGAGAAATTGCAGAAATTGCTATAACCTCACAATCAACTGTCTCTCTAGTGCTTAAGGCACATAATGATGCCACTCCCGTTCCAAGGACGGAAACAAGGGGACGAAAGAAAAAGGTTGATGATAGAACTGGCAGGGTGATCAAGAGAGAAGTTGCAAAGAATAGGACTATAACTAGCCAAGAACTGCAGCCAGTCTAAACCTCTTCAACAGTTCGTCAGAACCTGATTACAAATCTTGTACATGAAGGTTTAAGCCGCTAATAAGCAAAGCCAAGAGACTTGAATGGGCTCACTATTACAAAAATTTCACCATAGAAGACTGGAAGAATGTTCTCTTCTCCGATGAAACGAAAGTTGGGCTAAATTCAAAGGATAAGGCGAGTCACTTTTATCGAACAGCATTGTACTTGTATAACGTATGTTTTTGAAATTTAAAATTAATTTCCATTTTATATTTGGAATTTACCAGGGTTTTTTTTTTTCTTAACAGCATAAGACAAGAGCATTGCAAATTGAGACAGAGATGAAATATGGCAGCAAGCCAAATGCCACACCCAAGAAGCGTGGACGTATTCCAGGAACTCCATCCATGCTTATTACAAATAAAACTCGAAGGGTAAATGGTCTTCTCTCTCCAAATTTATCTTCACCTTAACAAGAAAAAATGGAGAATTCCTCGTATCTATGAAAATCTAAACTGCTGTCCAAAAGTGAATCTCTTTGCTACTAAAGCTTGATGTGACCTGCTTCAAAATATCTGATTGCTATATTGATCTGGTCTTAGGTTGGCTTTGTCTAATCTTAAATCTCTCCTCTTGCTCCTGTATTAGCATGATGCTTAGCCTTGCAGATTTTTATAAACAATATGAACCTGTTCTTTTCTAGAAAAAAGATGAACTACATTACTTTTGATCTCCATGAGAACTCTATTTATATTGATAATCAATATTGATTTTACATGAGGTTTTGTAAGATTCCCATATATTTCAAGATTTAAATTGTAACTAATTCTGTTTTGTAAAGAAATTAATGATACTGTGGTGGTTCATTTATATATATATGATGAGACACACCCATGGAATTAAGATTTTATGTCTGTTTATTCATGGTATGGTGAATAATTTCTCAATTTATGAGGTGGATACAATCTTGTGTATAACAATGGATTTACCATTTTCGATATTTTATTATCTTTTGTATAATGTTCCCTTTTTTTTCTTTTTTATTTATTTATATATATATATACACACTTGATTTTAGAATTATTTGCTGGTATAGAAAGCAATCATAACTTTTTTTTTTTCTCTAAAGTCTGCTGGAATATTCAAATAAAATGTAAGCATTTTGATGTTTTAGTGTATTTTCTATCTTAGTCTATTAGTTATTAAGTCTTTCTTTCTTTTTCCCTTTTAAAACTGCTTTTAATCATTGAAAGCCAAGATTTAAAATATCACTCTTCAAATTTTAATTCATTTAATTAGTTATTAATTTAACTATTTTGTAGAAAGCTGATTTATGTTTGTACAAATGTATCTAAAACTTTTCATATGAACAGATTTTTTATTTTTTTTTTATTTCTATAATTTAATCAACTTCATTCTGAACATTAAAGAGACAAAGGAAAAAATCTTTTGCTGCTGGGGGTGAAGGATTTTACTGTCTTCCCACTTTTTTTATGCCTTCTACATTAAGATTACATTGCTTTTAAACTTGTACAATTCTAACATTAAGATGGATTCATTTTTTATTATTTCCTTTAAAAGTTGACCTTATTTTCTTATGAACATTTTTCTGAAGTTTATTTTATTTTATTTTTCATCTTATGTACTATACATTGAAAAACAAGCTAAAAATCCAATATCTGTTTATTAAAAATGACCAAATTTTTAAATTGCTTCATGTTTTTTTTTTTTTTTTTTTTTTAATCCACAAGTTACATGTAATGAAATTCTTGCAAAAATTGTCAATCTTTCTTATAAAGGTTATGAAATTACTATATTTCAGCATTGCTACTTTTGTTTTCTTTTATAACTGCGATAGAATGTATAATTTGTTCCAGAAACTTGGGTAATATTTGTGTTGGAATTTGTCTTTCTATAACAACTTTGAATAATTATCATGTGGTCATTAATCATTCTTAGCCATCCAGTCAGATATTTTAATCTCATCTCTGTTGTGTCCTCAAATACTTTAAATTAGTCTTTATCCCAAGAAATGGAGTTATTCAATGACTATGCTGAATTATTATCATTATTATCATTTTTTTTTTTTATTCATTCCTGAATACTAAGCCATGTATCTGTCAAAGCCCAGTTGATAAATTTTTCAATTGTATTTTATAAAAATATTATAAAAAGTTTTTATCACTGTATTCTAGAAATTTACTTAAAAATTAATTTACCTGTACTTAAGTAAATTTTGCAATTACAGTGATTATATTTGTTTCATGAGCAGTCCAGGATTTTTATCTATACAACTATTGTTTCATGTGAAAAATTTTCTTTTTTTAATAACTGAGCAAAAAAAAAAAAAAATCCAAAGAAAGTTACCCCCCCCCCCACACACAATGTATTAGCAGTCATATCTCCCATTAAATATTTTGTTATGGTAACAAGGCATGTTAACTTATTGGAGTTGAGTCATGTCTTCTACAATAGAAATTTATCGTTGTTAGAAAGGGGGGGGGATCAGGCTGAGTGACTGATAACTAAATAAACAGCTAGATTGCATTTTTATATTCTAGAAGGAATATTCTCAAATTGAAATATGAAATAAACAGTTTATATTTGAGGAAATGCAATATTCAGATGATGAATGGAAATTATATTTTCATCAGTTCATTCTGGATGGCTTAAGAGTTAGGCCGTGTTTTTTGAACTTATTTATTTTTCTTTCTGGACAACAAACATTTTAACCTTTTCACTAATTGCACTTGATCTTCCTAGTTCTTGGCACCTAGCATCATTGCAAATCTCTCCCTTCCCTTGTGAAATCGTTCTCATATCTGATCATATACACTGATTCATTTTTATAATATTTATTTAATGTATAATTTTACATAATATATTCTATAATTATACTTGCTCTCATTATTTCAGCTAAAGCT